ATATATATATATATATATATATATATATCCTGGTAATAACTGCAGGAAAAGGCCAATTGAAGTAGTAAGTAGTGGGCAATGAAAAAAGTGATTATGGAGAGTGAGATGTCGCTGCCAACATCATGTCTTGAGGTTCAGTCTAATCCAAAGCATGTGATGGAGGTTTAGAATCCCTCTCTCTCTCACACACACACACACACACTTCTGCAAAGTACACCTTCTCAATTCAACATGCCTTGATGGAGAAAGTGGTACAACCTAAATAGAAACAAACAAAAAAAGCTCGCCAAAACCACACCAGAGTTTCATTATACAGCAAACATCGATTAAATAGACAGTCTAAATATCATTTATCGCACTTGAAACTGCTTTTTTTAATTACAGAAACCCTCATCAGAAATTACACTTAAACGCTAATGTGTCTAATTTGACAACATTTTTTTTTTTACAAGTGACGTGTAAGAGCGGCACATAATTACTATAGTACACAATAGTAACTGCAGAGCCGCAGCGCTGATGAATGGAAAAAAGGCAAGGTCTTGAGCTTGAGATGCACAATGGTCAGACGTCCATTCTAGTGCATATTTATGTAAACAAATAAAAGCAACACAGCCTACTGTAAACAACTCTGACAGAGCTTTATGATTGGCCAAAACGTCTTACGTCAGGGCATTCAGACCTTGTACATGCTCATACTGGCAATCCTGTTCTTTGTTCACACATAGCATCATACTGATAATTTACTGGTAATGTTACAACTTCTCATACCAGAAAATTGCCAGAGCTGATTTACTGACCTTTCGAAAAATTGACCTTTCAAAAAGGTCGAGATCACACATGATCTCTAAATGATTAAAAAATTATCTGCTGAAAAGGACAGAGAAAATTTAACAACACGACAGATTTTTATCACTTTTTCTTCTTTTTTTTTATTTGATTTTTTTTAACATTTTTTGTTAAATCAAGCATATAATCAAAACACCTGTTATAATGCTTGTTTAATTCTACTTTAATAATGTTAAAGGGGTCCTATTATGCTCTTTTACAAAGTCTTGATTTATCGCATCACGCCACATCTTTAAAATTCAAATACATTATTTTCTCTGAGTGTAGGCACACAGGCGGCGCCGTTCGGCATCTGTCCGCGGCGCCCAGCTACGTCGTGTTGTACTTGTAAGAATTGTTCTAGACATGCCGAAAATGTGATGCTACAGCACAGCAGCTCTTCTTCTTCTTGGTTTTCTCTGATGCATTAAAAAAGTGAAAAAGCATAATAGGACCCCTTTAAGAAACCTCATGGCCAAACAAATGCCTTAAAAATAAATGAAATAAATATCACCAGCAAAAGCACCTGGAATATCTCACTCAGTTGTAAATCAGTCTAGAGAATAATTCTAACAGTGAGGCCAACGAAGGATCAAAAATATAGAAATAATTTCACCAGAGAAGGTGTGGGTATGAGAGCATGTTTTTGAAATACTGATGCGATTTTCACATGTTCTGCTTTACTGCTTTTTAACAAGAACTATAACAAAGAACTAAAGCATCTTATAAGCAGATGGACTAACCTCAAAATGAAACTTGCAGCAATACTTATAAAGTTAAATTCATAATGTCATTAATGATATCAGACACTCACTGTGGAAGGACGGTTTCGTCATCATAACTCTCTTCACCGCAATGCCCCTTTGTTCTGAAACCAAAGTTGAAGTGACCAAATTCCAGACCATGATTCATGACATAAATAAAATTCCACAGAGCACTGCTGTAATTTCCTGCCATCACATTTTATTCTACTACTATCAGAACTAGCCACCTGATTCACTTCCTGTCATCTTTTCAGTAAGGCCACCTTACCGAAAGACACATGCAGGTTGTGACACCTGTGCGTACATGCATCGGCCTGAAATGCTGTCACCAGCATTCCAGTGATTATGGCTCATTTCCATTTTGTGTGAAATCACATCATACCAGCTGAATATACAGTGCTGTGGTAAATCCAACAAGGACTGCAATAATACCGTCCCCTCCCCCCATCAAACAGTTGAGAGAAACAACCTGAGAGGGAGAGATCACAACAGTGTGGAAATAGGAAATGCTCTCCAGGAAACTGACCCGCTGGAAGGAAATCACATGCATCACCAACATAGAACCGCAAGCAGCCTGATCATTAAACACATATCTGATAGGGTGTGTTAGAGAAGACCGTCTATCTACCTATTTCGTCTATCTTACAATAAAAACGCTCCATCAGACAATGGCTTTTTGCATCTCTCAGTCTGATTGTGCAGGCTTGTAATCTACTTTGTGCTCCAATTGTTCCTGTTCATTAGAGCCGCTTCAGCATCAGTTCAAACATTTCATCTTCAGATGTGCAGATCTGGGTTATTCAGACACATTAGGTGGTTTGTACTTCCTACATAAACATGTTTCTTGATAAAGAAATAGTATTATTTCGGATAAAGATAAAGTATTTCAAAAACATGCTCTCATACCCACACCTTCTCTGG